AGTGGTGCTGTGGCTCAAGTGGTAGAGCGCTAGCCTTGAGCTGAAGAGCTGAGGGACAGTGCCCAGGTCCAGAGTTCAGGCCCCACTACCAGACGCCCCCCCCAAAAAAGAGAAACTAATAGGCTTTTATGCCTGGCCCAGCCTTGAACCTTGATCCTCAGATCTCAACCTCTTAAGTAGCTAGGATTACAAGTGTGAGCCACCAGCACCTGGCTATCATTTTTATGGGCATTTGAACTCAAGGATTTCAAACTCAGAGAAATATTAGACATCTTACATCATTGAACAGCTAGAAAAAGAAGAATTTAGTCTGCTACAAGGAAGAATAACACAGACCTGTACAGTTAAGTAGAAGTCAGTGATACACAGGAATCTTGAGGGCTTTGAGCTCTAGGTCCGACAATGCACCTGAAGATTAACTGCTGGTTCCATGGACCAGCATATCTTCCTGAGACTTTTCCCTTTGGGTTGCTGTTACTTTAATGCAACATATATTCCTATCCAAGACATTACTGTAAAAGTTCATGTCTAACACTAAAGTCAGCCTCAAGGGAAGGCCAGCTACAGCAAAAATAGCACAAGCACATATCCTAAGATGACTACTTTTACACTTGTACAGGAAAGTTTAAACTACCACATTGTTGCCCTAGAAACCAGAAAACAATATATATGAAACAGAGATACAATGCATATATAGCCAGTGAGTAAAAGAATAGTTGGTTGATAAATAGAAGACACAGGAGAGAGAAAAGATGAAAAAAGTATTTGCTGAAAGGGAGATCTCTGCCCACACTGCATGTTACCAGAGCAGGCTTAGTGTGCTGAATGTGAAGCAGCATGAGAAAACACACCCTTTTTTCCAGGCAACTGGAAACTATCAACAAAGCCAGACTTTATTTCTCATTCTCAGGTACACATCTACCCACATCTGAGCCCTCACACATCTTCTCTTATAAGAATCTTCCCTTCTTAGATATAGGAGGGCACCAGAAGTTTCTATGAATTTCTACTTTGTGTTACATAACACAAAATTGTAGTACTTGTTCTACCAAAAGAACACAAAATCTATTTGGGGAGCAGGATGTACTCACATAAAAAGCATGATAGCAATACATGCTGGCACCATTCAAGATGGCACTAGAGATTGGAGGACAAGGGCCAAAGGGCCTCAGATAACAAAGACCTCCTTCTCAAAGGAGGAAGGAGACATTTGGTTTGGAAGAGGCCAAGGGATCTTCAAGGAAATGACAGAAATAGAAGAAGGCTTTGAGGAATGAGAAAGATTTGAAAGTGCATCTGCAAAAGTATACTCATATGAAAGATCTGGTAAGATGAATAAACAGAGCATTGCTCATAGATCAGTTTGCAAATGGTCATTAATGAAAATACTCATATTTATTTAAGTACTGTATTTTATCT